CTCAAATGTCATAGTGCAGGGGTGTCAAACTGCTGACACACGGGCCGGATGCGTCATCGGGAAACCATGCTAGGAAATTCTCTTTTCAACTCTTTCCTCTGCTAGAAACTTAACATGGACTTTCCATTTTAACCCTTTTCCCTTAATGGAATGGAATGGAATGGAATGGAATGGAATAGAATAGAATAGAATTCTTTATTGGCCAAGTGTGATTGGACCCAAGTACAGTACAGTACAGAATACGCACCTTACGTGGCTGCCAGGAAGATTACTTGGGCACCGTATGGGAAGGACCAAGTAATAAATTCATCTTTTCATGATCTCCAATAGAACATACCTAATGCAATTATTGACAGTAATAACATTTGATTAAATTTGTATGCTGCCTGATTCCAATGATTGGGCAACATATTGTATAGCTCAAATAGTGCTACTGAAATAAAATCTTTAAATATCAAAGATAATGCATCTATCTTGTCATGTTTGCTCACTGTATATCTGTCCTTCCACAACTGAACTGCCTAACAAAAATATGAAGTGTTATCAATCCTAACAGTAAACACAGGCATGTAAACTGAGCAGGGGTTCATTGTATATGCTGCGATCACGTATCAGCTCAATTCAAGAGCAGCAGTCCCCAATCTTTAAGTTTGGCAGCCCAGCAGGGGTGGGAGAGGGCCCGCCACTCATGCAAGTTGAGCTCACACGTGTGTGCTGGCCAGCCACTCGCTCGGCCCGGTTCAGAAAGGGCCACAACCCAGGGATTGGGGACCCCTGCTCAAGAGTACAAGCTTGACATGACATGACAGTAACATGACAGATTTTGAGTTACCACTGCATAGACACTAAATTATTAAGCTCAGCTACTCCCTAGAGACAAAATTTGGTAAAGCTATGATATGGAGAGGGAAAAATCTACTTATATGTCCTTTTTCCCCCTGTATCTCAAATAGGGTCTAGTGGTGATGTCTGCAGATCTGGAAGAAGTAGTAAATAGTATTTTGAAAGGAAAAATTCCAGGCATGTGGATGAGTAAGTCTTATCCAAGCCTCAAACCTCTTGGTAGCTATGTAAATGATTTTCTCACCAGATTGAAGTTCCTACAGGTGAGCACTTCACTTAAAATTTTGATTCCGGGTGCACTTTAGATATGTGTAACTACAATTCATCATCCTAGCATGTTTAATAAGAAAAGATGTACCATTTCTCTGTATGCATATAGCTTTAAATACTGTAAGTCACATACTGCCTGAAGTAGGTATAATTAATATCCAAAGCGCTATTTCAGATTCTGGGTGCATGTTGTTTACAATGATTTAAGTATTGGGGCATATGTTATATAACCTAGTAGTAGGCTGCCTATTCAAGTTGTGCCACTGAGAATAGAATACTGACTTTTCCCATTACTGAATGCCTGCACTTCAGAAGTCACTTCAAACCGAAGTACATAAATTTTTAAGTGCGGGAGATTCATCTTACCATTGTGCTACAGTAACAATGGTGAGCTTTCCTGCTACTGGTTAAATGAGCTTTCCTGCTACTGGTTAAAAGCATATTGATGTAAGATTTAGAACTGAATTAGTAGGCAAAGGAAACGTGATTTGCCATCCTTGACAAAAAGCACAGGAAATGTAACTTTCTTAAACGTGCTGAGGGTATTTAGCAAATTTTGAAGGGGGGTCATGGAATGTTATAAAACAGTGGTGGCGAACCTATGGCACGGGTGCCAGAGGCGCCACCCAGAGCTCTCTCTGTGGGCATGCGTGCCGTTGCACCAGTCCTAGGCCTTCAGCTGGGTTTTATAAAACCTTTTTGCTTTAGGCATCTGCCGCCGTGTGCAAAAAAAAAAAAAAGTTCAGTCAATTTCAACTTCTCGCGGGGAAAAAAAAGATCTTGCAAAGTTGGGATTGATTGAAATTTTTAGTCCCACCTAGTCTGCTGTTACCACTGCAGCCATGCCCACCCAATTGGCCACGCCTACCCAATGGGCCACACCCAGCCAATTGGCCACACCCACCCGGCACTCGACGATACATAAGTGGGTTTTGGGTTGCAGTTTGGGCACTCAGTTTCTAAAAGGTTCGCCATCACTGTTATAAGACAATTTTGTCATCTTTTATCATCGTCTTTAGCTGCTCAGGGTTTTCTTGTTGTGCTACCATCTAGACTTAAGGTAGGAGATGTGGCATTCTAATATTGTATGGTAATTACAGTCCCTGGTCACATTGATTGGGGTTAACAGAGTCCAAGATCTGGCACACCGTGGGATCCATTGTCATCCTAAAAGAGCTTTGGACAAACCTGAGGCAATCTGCCCCCAGAATTTGCAAAATTCTGATTTTCCTTTGCCATTCATGGCGCACTTAGTAAGGCTTGCCCATTTCTAAAAAGTGTGGTGGCAGTGGGGGGGGGGAGGGGAACCAGTGAGCAGGCTGCATTCCATTGATACATCCTGATACAACCTAGTGAATTCATTTGTTAATATTAAACCTGGATTTCCTCCTTGTCCTATCACTGCAGACATGGTTTGAAAATGGAACTCCCCCGATGTTCTGGCTTTCTGGATTTTTCTTCACACAAGCCTTCTTAACTGGTGCCCAACAGAATTTTGCCCGGAAATACACCATCCCAATTGATCTGCTGGGGTTTGATTATGAAGTTCTGGAAGACAAGGAATACAAACATGGTCCCGAAGATGGTAAATCTACAATCAGATTAAAAGTCCTATAATTTGGAGAAATTTTATTTTAATTAGCCTGTTTGTACTCTTCTCTTCATCCAAGATGCTCAAGGTGGAAAATTGAGGAAATTGAATTTAAGCTTTTCAAAATCATTATGAAGTTAGGCTGAGGCTATATGAACACCCATATGCTAAGCAGAGAGGTGCATCATAGCTCCCTTACCCTTTCTCCATTTGATCCTCTGCATAACATTTTCTTCATATTCATATCAGGAAAACTGGTCATAATAAATTCCTTGAGATTATTACAAAAATTAAAAGGGTAGATTGTGGCCTAATCGTTTGTTATGGCCATATGTTTAGCACAGAAAACCTGCTTCTGAATAGAAAATCATACATAAGTCATACTTTTCAATGGGCCTTGAAACTAATCCAGGGCAGAGCTGCAACCTATATCCTATCTGTTTAATTGTTGCGGAAATAATCATTGTTTTAGATTTGTCTATGCAAGCTGTACAGAATCCATTTATAGGTATGGGCTTCCCTAGTGGGAGTTATCAAAAATTCATAATCCAATGTAAAGTTCACTTACAAAATAAAATTCCACACATCGTTTTATGCCAACCTATCCTTTTTTTTTTTTTTTTTTGCAAATAAAAAACAGGAGTCTACGTTCATGGATTATTCTTAGATGGAGCTCGTTGGAATAGGAAGACGAAGAAATTAGGGGAATCTTACCCCAAAATCCTTTACGATAATATGCCAGTGGTTAGTATTTCCTGCTAAATATGTCCCCCCCCCCCCTAGTAATCTGTAGAGCTATTCTGCTGACCTGGGATGAAGCAAGCATGGATGTGATAGTTCCTTGATGGGGATTTAAACATGCACATTAGTTTTGTGTGTAAGTTACTCAAGTAACATATGTGACTATATATTGCACTTTGTGCTGTAATTGCATTTGATTGTGCCACTATGCTGATTAGCCTGATTTGGTTCAGAGATTCACAAAGATAATCTGCCCTCGCCCAGATAAAGGGAAGAACATTGTAATCCGCTTGCATCTTAATCGTCTCCTTCTACTTGCTACAGATGTGGCTCAAGCCTTGCCGAAGGTCAGACATTCCCAGCAGACCCAGTTATTTGGCTCCGGTGTACAAGACAAGCGAAAGACGAGGAACTTTGTCCACTACGGGCCACTCTACCAATTTTGTGATTGCAATGATTTTGCCTTCGGACAGGCCGGAGGAACACTGGATTGGACGAGGGGTGGCCCTGTTATGCCAGCTCAACTCCTAACCGAAGGCAGGCCGCCGGGAAAGAGGGGCTAATGGGCCACCCTGCCACATTCAGTAGCTTTTTCGTCCCTTTTTTTTTCTAAAGAAATTCAAATGTATCAAAAATTTTAAATACACTTTATTTGCATCTTTTAAGTTGTAAAAAAATTAGAATAAGTTGAATGAAATAATAATAAAAAGTTCTTGGGGGTAAAAAGCAAGTCTGCATAATTGTTTATTCAATAATTTTATTTTCTTATGCTCCTTGTGAATAAGGAACAGACATTAACACAACACTGTTGACAATGGACAAAAACAGCATTTCATCATTCACATATATATATATATATATATATATATATATATATATATATATATATATGGATTTTGTTGTAACAAATCAAATCACCCCCCCACCCCCTTCCAAAAGCTGTATCTCAAATATATTTCAGGACCATAATCACATTGTTTCAACCGTTAAGTAAAGAAGTCTCACACTGCATCCTGGGATGCTATAGCATTTTCTAAGCAATCATTATCACAGCTGATTCAGTGCAGTGTGATCAATATGGGATGTCACACAGTGACAGCATTTTAAGATACAAGTAACATTTATGCCCTCTAACAAGTACACATTTAAATGAGACTGGACTCCAGTGGAAGAGAATGATGAATCCACGTAGAAACATGTAGCGGAATCCCGATTGTCCCAAATGTGATCACTTAATTGTATTAAAAAAAAAAAAATGGGGGGAAATCAGCACCCAAGGAAATAGGAGAAGCTAAGGGCTGCTCTTCACAAAGTGTAACAGGCACACAAGTGAATGAAGGAGGATCGTCTCCCGAAGGCTCACCAAAATCCTAACATTCTACCATAGGACTGGTGTTTTGTAGGAAAAAAAAAATTATTTAGGTCTAATCGTTTTTTCCCAGATTGACATTACATTAGAGAACATGCCAGCAGAATGCAAAAGGAAAAGCTACTAGCTGAAGTAGAGAAAAGCTTTATTCATAATTACAAAAACAGGCTTTGAAAATCTTGTATGCCTTTTTTTTTTTTTTTTGAAAAGAAAAGAAGAGAGAGAGAGAGATCTCCTTCCAGCAGTCTGGCAGATGCTAATAAATCAAGAGTCCAAGGGCCCCAATCTTAGGAGAAGGAAGTCCCACTGATAGAGATGTAAGGGGAATGCAGCAGCATCTCCTCCAGCTTGACGCCAAGCATTTTTAGCTGGAGCTGAGCTACTCGCTCTAGCAAAGAGAGGGAGAGCAAAGAAGACCCAACTTTTCAGTCTTCACAGTTGTTCTGAAATCCAACTGGATATGCAGTTGGTAAAAAAGCAGGAGCCAGTCCTCTGTGGAGCCAACAGCTAACCAAAACACTGCTGTTTGTTAGTATTCAGTCCCTCCCACAAAGGCCACCATCGTCGGACATACCTTTAAAGTAGGCAACACTGCCACAACTGCAGGAATGTCTGGAGAAAAGTCAGTGGAATGATCAAAAAAGTAAATTGGAATGAAAGCATTATCTGGTTTCGTAATTTTTAGGGATTCTCTGGTGGGAATCAAAGAAAAGTAACCCCTCCCCGCAAAAACCCAAACCCACCAACCTTCTTTTTGCAGCTCAGCTTATATATACTTTTTTTTTTTAAAAAAAGGAAGAAAAATGCTGGAAGAAACTAACTCCCAAGATTAGTTTTAGGACTAACCTGTTGTGTTCTTGTTTTCTGGGACTGGAAGTGTCGGCTCTTCTCATCATCTCTTACAATCTGTCTCTAGAGGTTAATAGTTGATTGGCACAAACATTCTCCCTAGGGTGAAGCTAATCCCTGCAGAGTTAAGGCTTTCCCCCAAATCTGCACATGCCACGATGCTAGCTATCATAGAAGGCCTGATCTATGTAATCTCTGCAGCACACCTCCCTGGCCTAGTTTTCTAGGAACCCCTGCAGCCATGTGGGGAGTCTCCCTGCTGGGGAGGAAGCATCCCCAAGATAGGAAGTCAACCTGCTTGGCTTCTGGCAGGAGACCTTGGAACTTCTACAATGCAGAAGGAACCCAACTGCAGCGAAGGCAAGGACGAAAGCCCAGCAGAATAGAAGAAAGTTAAAAAACAATGAAATCAATCTCCGAAAGGGGGCCTTGGGGTGAAAAATTCTCCATGTCAAGCAGCCACAGATGCTCCACATTTAGGTGGCATGGCACTGGAATTCATACGTTCAAAACTATTCTCAAGAATCATGTAAAACATGAAAAAAGGGCTGCTGTCCCCCCCCCAAAAAAACCTTGAGGCAGGACCTCCCTTAATTAACAGAGAAGAAAGTATGAACCGCTCAAAAACAGCATTGCTACCTGCTCCACCACTGCAGCCAGGGGATTGGAGGAAGTCCAGAAGCAATATTTAGCTAGCTGGCATTTTGCTAGCCAATCTCCACCAAGCTAGCCTGAAATAGCTAATACTTTCCAACCCCATGCCTCCCCCAAGGTGCACAGACCCCCTCAGGCTTGATTCAGAGATCTGCAGCCTGCTTATCCTTGGGCTTCAAAAGGACAAGAGTACAATACTGCATCACCGCCATAATATCGAAGGGGCTCAAACATTTGCGAAGGAGCCAGCAACGGCAGAGCTGTGTAGTAGTGGCTGCGGACAAGAACACATGCTTAAAACCCTGTATGAAAGAGCTGATTGGCAAGGAGGGAGAAAAAAAAAGGGGGGGGGGGAGAGAGGAAAGTTCAATCCAGGACAGAGAAGAAGAAAATTCAATCCAGTGGCTGAACCAGAAAAACACATGGTTTCACTTTGGTCATATCATTCAGCACAGAGTAAAAGAGCTGACCGAGCAGGCAACAAGGCTGGGAGCAAATGCAATCCAATAATAACATGCTAGAAACAATTCATCCTTTTTGCTTTGTTTAAAAAAAAAAAACATTAAAAAGGTGACCTTTCCCGGAATGGTTCTAGTTGTACACTGCCAACTAAATTTCAGTTGCGAGCCTGTGTGTGTGTGTGTGTGTGTGTGTGTGTGTGTGTGTGTGTGTGTGTGTGTGTGTGTGTTACAGGCTGGGACAAGGAGCCCGGGGAATGATCTAGCTTGGCACATGAATTCTGTGGATAAATAGGGGTGCCTTTCACCATTTGCTCAAGTACAACACAAAAGGCTTTTGTCAGCAGGGTGTGTGATTTCGGCTGCACGTTGCCAGAGCCAAATAGAAACGATGTGTTTGTAACAGCATCTCACGCATCATGTTTACATGCTCTGCTTCCAACACAACCTGATTTTTTTTTTTTATTTAAAAAGAAAAACACTGGACCAAATCAATCATATTTTGTTTGTCTCTTCCTTTCCATTAGCTAGAAAGAAGCAGAGCCTGTTTAAACAGATACCCAAATACGGTTACAGATAAATCTGAGTGTGTCACTGCTTTGTCTGGGAACTGATGTGCATACAGTATCACAGGGCAGACTAAAAAAAGTCTTACAGTAGCATGACTGCAATCACAGTTGAGCACTGGAAATTTTCAAAACTGAATGTCCAACACTATTTTGTCTTCATAAAGAGCAATCACGAGCATGATGGCAAAACCCAGGACAAGCCCCAGGTTCTGGAGGACGAATTGACCCACTGGACAGTAACCGTGCTCTTCGTTGTCTCCATCCCCATGAAGCATCTCTGGAAGCTGAAAGGAAGGAAAGGTCTGAATAACCCTTTTTTAATCGGGCAGTGCCCAAGGTCTGAATAACCCTTTTTTAATCAGGCACTCCCCATCTGTAATTCAGAAACCAAGAAGGAACCTCTGCTTTGAAATGATGGATCTGCACTGACAGAGGGCTGGGACAGTCTCACTGGCTGAGGCTGTTTTTCTCATGGACTTCTCCTGCCACAGAGTTCTGCACATTACTTCTGTGGCTTAAAATCTGATTTCTGGAAACCCCAAGCTATATGCACAAGGAAACTTACTTCACTTCCCTGCATAATCAAGGATTCCAGTATTACAACCACAGAATTGATTTTATTAGTTTCTCGATTTATCTTAACCACATTTATCTGGGGGTTAAAATAAACTGCTACCCATCCAGCAAAAGGAACTTTGGACGGCAAGATATAGTCTTATCCAAGGTTCATTTTTCTTGGATTTACAAGCAGATACAGGTATTCTTAGCTTATAGTTCAACTGCTACTCCCTCCCTCATTATTGGTACTGTTCCTTTGGACAAATGATAGTCTTCAACTGCCATCTTCTGATTATAGGAATCATCCCACCAAACATTCTTCCAACTCCGTATCTGCTTTTCTGTGCTAGGAATCCAAGGTCATTCCTGGTCCATCCTCTTGTGTGCATGCGATTCTCATTCTGGCTCTTTCTATCTAGGCCTCTCTTTCTTCTTTTGTGAAAAACTGCTCCCTCACTGACCTCCCGTACGCCCTACGTCTTCTGGCATTAGCAGAGCTCCATGCGCCAAAGGAGTCTTCCTCAGCCTGGGAAACCTGCAAGACTCCAAACGCTGCCCTACCCGAAAGGCCACAGGCATACAACCCCACATATGGAGGGTCTTACCATGTCCACGAGGGCCACGTAGAGGAACATGCCAGCAGTGATTGCAAAGATCCAAAGAGTGACGTTATTCGCATATTGTCCCACAGCTGTTCCTATTAGCATTCCCACATAAGCCATCATCGCCGAGAGGAGGTTGTAAACAATGGCCTGCTTCACAGTCATGCCCGCCTTCAGAAGTACAGCAAAGTCACCTAGTGGAAAGGCAAAAGCGATAGCACAATCGCAGGCTCATCCAGTCTAATCAGGGGCATTCTAACTAAAAAGATCCTTGGTGTTTTCTCATCTATATCTATATAAATAGATATAGGTGTTTGTATGTAGGTCTTTGGTTATTCGGGTTTTCTCCCGCGTAAAATTGGAAGTGTCTTGGCGACATTTCGACCAAGTCCCATTCGTCATCTTCAGGCTGGCGTTTTCGGCTTCTTGCTCCTAGAAGCATGAAGCCGAAAACACCAACCTGAAGATGACGAATGGGACTTCGTCGAAACGTCGCCAAGACACTTCCAATTTTACGCGGGAGAAAACCCGAATAACCAAAGACCTACATACAAACACCCGTGAAAACCTCAAAAAACATATATAGATATATATCTATAGATATATAGAGATAGACTAGATAGATTAGACAGACAGACAGTTTTCTAATTCATTTCTTGGCTAAATAGAAATTGTGGTGGTTAATGCTGATCTCTAGGGAATAGCATGACAAGGAAGGGAGCATGCTGCAGAAAGAAGAGAGAGGCATGCAACCCTTGAGTTGCTCTCAAAGGCTTGACCATTCAGTAACAGTCTAGCCATGTTATTCCTTTATATCTCTATATTAGAGTGCCTGCCATCTATTACTGTTAATTTGGCTGCCTTTATCCCAAAAAAACAGGAATGATCTCCTGGACAAAGGACTGGCTAGCAATTCAGCTGCTGTTGCTGCTAAAAAAAAACAAAAAAACTATGATTGTAAAGCGAATGCAGAATTTGTTGCAGGATAAATTGCAGAAATAAAGAGAGAATGAAAATCAAAGCAGCAATGCATAGGGATAAGAGGCAGTTGACATCTTTTAAGGCTGTAAACATGATCAGCTGATCCTTTCCTGAAATTCTGTAACTCAACAGAACGGCACAAACTGCTCTGTGACTGGATTTGTGAGAGTGAAAGAAGAGAAAGCGTGAAACCTGCTAGACAACGAAACACAGCGTTATCCCCGAGACAGTGAAGCACACGGGGTCAAACGAACTTCTTCCCTGCAGGGAAGGCGCTTTGGAGCTAAAACCAGAACACTAGAAATTTAGTTTACCCTGTGAGAGAGGAGGACAACAATACATCTCAACTGAACAAAGATATGCACGGGCTGTGAACAAGATATAATGTCTATACAATGCAAGATTTGGACAGATTGTGCATGCTACATGCTACACCAGTGGTTCTCAACCTTTTTAATGCCGCGACCCCCCAACCGGTCGTAAATCAAGGACTACTCAACCGGTCGTAAGTCGAGGACTACTCAACTGGTGCAGCACTGTTTGCAGAATGGGACTTTTGGTGAGCTCAGCAGGGCAGAGACAGCCTGGACAATTCCTATTGGCTTTTGAAAGCCAATAGAATTAGACTCTGTTCAAGAGAGTCTATTCTATTGGCTTCCAAAAGCCAATAGAATAAAAGGGAGTAGCACAGCTAAGGAAAAGGGGGAAAAAATGGCGGACTGCGTTGTTTGGCGACCCCCGTGAAATGGTCGTTCGACCCCAAATGGGGTCCCGACCCACAGGTTGAGAACCACTGTGCTACACTATCCATTCCTACATTCGGCCCACTTAGCAGGGAGAACTTTCTCAATTTCAAGACATTTCCATTATCAAAAATATCACCCAAGCTCAGCACACACAGCAGTCCACGAACTTTTACATAGGAACTACATATTCAGCAGAGCCTCCCAGAGCCTGTGGAAGCAGCTGTCAAGCCTATCAGACACAAAAACCAGGGGCCTCCTTCCAATAAAGTCTGCTCAGCTTTCCTTTTTATCTCCAGAAGTGCTGCTTGGCTTCAAGTGGGTGGCAGCACGTGCCAACCTGGGGCAGAATGCCACAAGGTCCTCCAGAGATACTTGCAGCTAGAACTGCTGACCTCTGATGATTTAACAGCTTTATTATTACTACAGTTGCTTGTGAATTTTGTTTTCATTTCCACGCTTTTCTGAAATACCTCGGTGCATACAAGCGTGCCACTCCTTTGTCTACGTGGCAGGTTTTGTCTCGGCTGGTGTCAACCTGAATTATGATTTTTTTTATTTTCATTGTTCCTCAGCTGAATCTGAAATCAGCCAGGCCCACCCCTTAAGAAAGCAGCTGCACTAGCTCTACGGCTGAAACCACGTAAGTTCTGGGTATCGCGAGCTATAAAAATAATCACATCTAATAATAAAGCATTTTTGATTCACAGACCAAAGAATAAAAGCACAGCTGACATCACATTAGCTGATTACCCAATTCATGAGGAAGTTCATGACAAAACACCGCTACGGATGTGCTGATTCCTCCAGTTAAGCCAGCACTGAAAGCAGCTCCTGGAAAGGAGAGGGATGAGGGTAGAGGACCAAACAAAATAAAGTTTTTAATTGGTTAGCTTGACGAGGCTATTTTTAGAGGAAACATCAGCGATGATAAAGGCAGCATTCTTGGCTGAGAGATTGTCAGGTGAACTATAAAAATAACGGCTCAAACGCTCACGTTTTCACTTCAAACTATTGAAAACAATTCATGGGTCTATATCAGTGTTTCTCAACCTTGACAATTTTAAGGCATGTGGACTTCAACTGCCAGAATTCCACAGCCAGCAATGCTGGCTGTGGAATTCTGGGAGTTGAAGTCCACATGCCTTAAAATTGTCAAGGTTGAGAAACACTGGTCTATATGCTAGGGAAAAAGGAGTTGCTCGGGAATTTGAGAGAACGGACTACTTTTTATAGGAGATCTCGAATATCAACCGGGAACCTGCCTGGTCTTGTACCAGAGGTGACCATAAAATGGGGGGGGGGGCAATGTTTGTTTGAAACTTACAAGGCTCCAAAGAACCATTTCAGACCCAACTCAGTTCAAGAAAACTGAATCTGGAAAACTTTGCTTTGGGCTTTGGATAACACAACGTATTGACACAGGAGTCAAGACTTGCCCTTCCTCCAATCAACAGATCTCAGTTGGGCATATTGCACTGCCCTGCCCGCCCCCCCCCCCCCCGAAGCAGGAAGATTACATCGCAAAATGTATTTTATGAGCCCCTTTTGGAGTGAAGCAGCTATTGCAGGAAAACTTCCAGAGATATACTAAGGGATCCATAATCAAGAACTCACAAAGAGAAAGTGAGTGGCATTTCTTAACATAACTGGCTCATATGAACTAGCAAATAATTTGTGGCTGCAAAGGAAAAAAGCCTTTGCTGCCTTGAAAAGGACTGAGGAAAATGAAGAGTAGGCCTTTATCTACTGAGGTGCTCATAACCTGGCAGGAGATATTAAAGGCTATAGAGCTGTATTTAGCACCTCTACTTCTCCTGATGAATCTCTCGTGTTCTTTTTTCTCTCTAAATCAGACACACGCTATCCCGTTTCTTTTTCTCGCCGCAAGTTCATTTGTTGCAAAGAGCCTCTCATCCAATCCCATCCCATCCCTTCTCCGAGCCTTTTGTTCTGCTTACCGATGGCCAAGCCGTCACTAAAATTGTGGATCCCATCTCCCATTATCACCATCCAGGCAATATTAGCTATTCCGGTGTCTTTTAAGTCTTTGCCGGAATGGCAGTGTCCATGAGAGTGATGGGAATGTTTATGTGGCCAGAGATGGTTGTGCTTCCTCGCTATTATTTTAACATCTCGATGATGGCTCCCATATTCCACATCTGAAAGATTGTTGCTCTGGGCATTATGAGAGATGTCATTATGGGAGTGGAGCATCCGATTTTCCTCCTCGGTAGTAGACAGGAAGGCCTTTGGCAGAGAGTCAAGGTGGCCATCCAAATCTGTTAATTCAGTTTCATTAAGTCGATCATCAGACAGCACGGAATCATCTGCTCCTGAAGGGAATAAGCCCAAGAAATAAGTAAGTTAACAAAGGATGACTAGGAAGTATTAATTAGGAGAGCAGTGCTGCCAGTACCTAAATTAGCCTTTCCCAGGAATACTAAATGGAGATATTTTGGGGAGCAGCATAGCCTTATATTTGAAAGTCATGTTGCTGATCTTGATTACAACGTAGAATATTGCTTAACCCACAGCTACAAACCCTTTACGTTACATGGGGTAGGAGAGGGGGAAGAGAGGTGTTTTTATGTGAAACAGAAGAGATGGAACCAGAAAACCTAATGCACATTAACCACAACATGCTAAAATATATTTAATGTGTTTGCATGTACATAAAGATGTGGACATGAGAACACATGACATAAGAATATTTATTCGTACAGCAGGGCAGGTCAAAAACCTATGTCTATGTGATCTTGTATATGTTGAGGTCAATTTCGAGCACATACTTGTCAAGGAAATGTCCCAAATTCAGTTGTTTATATCTGAAAGTGGGATAGAGAAAAAAAAATACACCCAAAACTTGGACAGCTATAGATAACCAGGATAAACAATGTTAAAATCTGGTTCAATAATTCTTAAAGTCTTTCATGGTTGTATAAGTGCTAATTTTCATATGGATATGGACTTAAATATAGAAGCTTGTATGTATAAGCAGTCCCAAATCTAGTCCTAAGAGAGCACATTCTGACATTACCAAAGTAATGGGTGAGGAACCTAGGGACAAGGTAAAACTATAGTTCAAGTTCCTAAACAAATCCTAATCTCAGAAGACACAAATAAGGCAACATCAATCAAAATGACCTCACAAAATTATTAACACAACAGGTGCTTTAATCTTGAATCACATTTTGCAAAAAAAAAAAACCATGGTTTTCTATTTTGGCTTCTAGCTAACTATTAACTAGGATTCAATCATTGACAAGGATGCATTAGACACACACAGAGACCAAATGTATTAATTTCCTAATTTGCAAGTGAGATCATCCAAATGAGAAGCCGAACTGACAACCCAGTTCATAATAAGCCCCATTGTTTTTAGATTTGTAAAAATCCATACATTTGGTGAAAAATTAATCAAGAATTTTATTAAAGCACTGTCTTCCAAATATTACTTGAGCAAGATTCAAAAAATATTCTCCAATGCAGTATCTGCTCCAATAATATATATATATTTACATCATGTATATAATATATGCGCATTATATATATATTACACACACACATAATAAAAATACATAAATGAAGATTTAAATTTGAATGAACTGGGGAACATGTTAACATTTGTTGATTACATTTGCTTTATTAAATGACAGCAGATCTAAATATTATTCGCTAAATGCAGCAGAGTAAGTAAGCTGATAGTCTGTATTAGCAACTGAGGTAAGATACGAAATAGTGCCGCCTGGTCATAAATGAGATACCTGCTAGTGGCCTGAGTTGAAGCCAGTCAGCATCAGGTCTGTTTAGCTTATGATCTGAAAGTTTCCTTCCAATGGGCGATTCATCAACCTTTTTTTGTTTTTTCTTACACCATTTCTGTTTTGTCTGAAAGAGACAAAAAGACCCAACTTTAGTTGACTATATACCTTGAAGGCAAAGGGGAAAGGCCCATTAGAAAAACTGCCTGGAATAATACAAAGGAATACTTCACTAAAGATCCTGTAATTGCTCAGCTTTAGAACCTTGTTGAAGCTAATGTAGGCAATTAGCAGAAACACGGAATCCACCTTTTTCAATAGAAAAATCTCCTTGTTAAGAATGTTGTTGTGCCACTTGCCAATTCCACTTTCATTAAACTATGCAATATCCTTTTGCTGTGACTCTTGCCAAATGGTGCAAAAATTTTCACAAAGGACACATCCAATGGTCTTTTCTTCTCTAGGCTCCCAGCCAAAATAGTTTGGGGAGGGGAGGACTAAATATCTAGAAATTATGTCCATGGATGTAACTGGCTGACGGTAAGGAGGCTGGTATATAGATTTACCTTTCAAACTCATGGATCTGTATGCACCAAAAAGTGGGGGGCAGTGTCTCTTCTATCTGTAAAATCAAGTAACCTGTTTCTCACCATACAGAAATGCTTTTTCAGACAACAAAGGGCTACCCATTTTTCCATTTTCAGTGGGATATTGCTTTGGATAGATAACTATAAAGTAAGACTGTTAACTTTTTTTTTAAAAAAAAAATCGAACACCTAAATCAGGGGTGTCAAACTGCTGGCTAGTGGGCCGGATGCGTCATGTGGAAGCCGTGCCCACCTCATTACCGGCAATGGCGAAACTGCCCCGATACGTTGCGTGACGTCATGTGACGTTGAGAGTTTGACATGTCTGACCTAAACTGTTAATCCATCAACCTCTGAAATAATATCCAACAAATCTGGTCCCTTTCTAACAAGCTTCAGTGAGCAATAGTGGCAAATATGTGTAGTTCGGGTGTAGGATGAGGGTGCAGGTTCATTCTCCAAGCTTGTGGGTTGGTTTCCAAACGTTTCGTTATCAGGCTAGGTAACATCTTCAGTGGCGTTTAGGGGATGTCAGTGTTGGTGTTCTTCTGTTTATAAGGGCTTCAGGTGTGGATGTGTCAAGTGAGGATCTTGTGATGGGTCTTGTGAGTCAAGTGTAGGTTGCCAAGTACCCATATCATCATGTGACCATGGGGACACTGCAATAGGTTCAACTACAAGGACCCACTATAAGTCCCCTTTGTTCAATGTCATGCAACTTTTAAGGCCAGAAAAAAACAAGGCTGCCTTAAATGCTCTCAAGAAATATTATAAGGTAGTTCTTGTTTAGTGATCAGAATTGGGATCAGCAGCTTGATCGTTAAGCAACGTGGTCACTAAATTAAACCAGAACTGTTGTTAGGATCTTACTTCACCTTTCCTTTGCTTTACAGACCTGCAATGTGAGGACTGTTTAAAAGATTATTTTTTCCATCACTGTTGTAACTGAATGGTCAATAAATGATGCAGTAACGAAACAAGGAGTACCTGTAGGCTGAATCAGATTTCAGTGTTTGAATCCAGATCTCTGCCTAACCCTCCAATATATTATTAGCTACTTTTGGAGACCAAGCAAACTTGAGGGATGGAGATTTAATACAAAAATAAGTTTGACAGATCCCTGTCAGATGAGCACAGTAAGAGCTAGCTGACTAGCTGAAATTATACTCGAGAACATATTCCTCCCACTCAATTTCCTTTACTGTACAATCTTATGAGCCGAGGTGGCGCAGCAGTTAAGAGTGCAGTACTGCAGGCCACTTTAGCTGACTGTGTTCAGCAGGTCAGCGGTTCAAATCTCACCGGCTCAAGGTTGACTCAGCCTTCCATCCTTCCGGGGTAGGTAAAATGAGGACCCAGATTGTTGGGGGCAATGTATAAGTCTCATAAATAAATAAATAAATAAATAAATAAATCTCAGAAAGTAGGATTTGTCAAAACATACCCTTTGTTTCTTATAGTGTTTGTACATTCGTAGGCAGTGTTCAATAATGAACAAAAGGTAAATCCCTCCAAGGGCCACAAGTCCTTTCAGTACAGCATCGTACTCTTCTAGGAAGTTCTGAACCGATCCTCCATGCTCATGAGAATGGCCGTGCAGATGCTGGTGCTCGTGTTGATGCTCATGCTGGTGGCCCTGGTCTTCATGGTGGCTGTGATTGTGGGCTCCTTGGGACTAGGAAAAGAAGATAGTTATGCACAAAACGTTTCCCAGTGGAAAGCCAAACCCAAATGATGTGAAATGATGCACTTCTCAGCTACAAAATAGTGCTACCAAGTGTCATTCTTATCCTTAAAAGCAAGCATGACAAAGATCAAATTGGTCTAATATTCTGTTCTGAGCCATCTTAAGTTAGATGGTTCCTGACAGTTCAAAAACGAACTCGTAAGCCAATACAAAATAATTTACGACTATATATGCCGATTCCAAATAACATCTTGGAGAAATGGTTTTGTGATGCTACAAGTGCACTCTCTATTGTGAAGCCTTAAGGATTAATGAACAGATTCACCTGCAGATTTTGAGACAGCAAGACAGAATTATTCATTCAATTGCTTGTTAGTTCAACTCTGCTAACTTTTTCCAAACGTAGGAGGCTCAAAATTGGTTCTCGTTGACTGGCCCATAACCCCTATTTGTGGAATAGATATAACTCCTCCCTAGGCCTTTTGTTCACATCTTTCCAACTTTTCAAAAAGAAGCGAGATACACAAAACCTGACTTCCACTTAACAGGCATTGTTTTCAGTCTATCTACCCACCTCTGCCTGAAAAAGATACTTCACAAAGCCATAAGCGCTAGAATGAGACTGAACGTACATGTGGTAGCAGATGAAGTAGTGCATCTCCGCTCATGGTTCCTACAGCGAGAGCAACCAGGAAGGTGAGGAGGAATTTGAAGCATCCCTGATTGATTATAGGAATCAAAATCACGCCTAGCAAAGACAACAAGCTAATAACTGTGATAGAAATGAGGCCACAGATCCAGGCTGCGAAAAGAAGGGAAAACACAAATTAGAAAATAATTCATAATAAATCAATAAAATTATAAACCCAATTATCAAAAAGGAAACATTATTCAAAGGAAACCTGCTCAGTTAAAATATAACTATTGTATTATTGTCTATTCGAATAAAATACCATTATAATAATAAAATAACATTGTGACTTATGCACTTTTCTAACAAATGCGGGCCATGTGGCAGATTTTTTTATATAAACGTATAGTCTATTAGATTAAATTATAATTTTATTTATAATAGTGAATAAATTACTTTTCATCTAAATGGGTTCATTGGAGAACATTTCAATACTGTAAACAACACGGATCACGGACTGGTGGATCTATGTTATTTTCACTGTTTTCACTTACTGACCTCCTAAGGGCTTTGGGGTTTCTAGTACTGTATTGGAATTTCCCAGTAAAGACACATACAAGATGCCTTCTAGTGAGGCAAAAGTATAATCCGTGTTGTCAAATGTGTGAATTTCTCCTACTTAACAAAGATGCCTCTTGTATTAATGGCAATGCAACTCCGTTGCTCTGCAGAATACCTTTTCCTTATATGTTAGCTCTCTCTCCAGAAAAAAGTGCAAACACGTGTATGAAATTCATCAAAATAGAAAGCAATTGTCAAAACAGAACGCAATACAAGCGTTGTTGCTGGAGGAAGGCAAGGAAAGGAAGAGAAAGCCAAGTGAAAGACAGATCTCACAGAATCATTTATGAAGCAGGCTGCTGCCAAATATTACATGCTTCACTGTTCTTCCACTCACACTGGAGAATGAATAAATACATTGGATCCTACAGGTTGTCGAAAATACATAAAAGACTTAGCCATGTCATTTGATGCCATCTAATGGGCAGCTCAAGTCTAAGTTTAGGCTCCAGTCTATATATTTATTTGATTTTTTTTTTAAAAAAAATCCGACCTGTGTTACTTTATAAGTAACTCAAGGCGGTGAACATACCTAATTCTCCTCTATTTTCCTCACAACAACCCTGTGAGGTGGGCTGGAATAAAAGAAAAAGTGATTGACCTAAAGTCACCCAGTCACTTTTGTTTGATTGCCTTGAAGATTGCTTTCTTGTGCTGAAAAAAGAAAGTTGTCTCACAAAAGCTGAACGGTGGGAGAAGGGAACATACTTCATATATCCGAAGGGTAAAGTTCTACTTCTTGCTACTCTGGCCTTTTTCTCCTAGAAAATCTGGGGAATAGTGGTCCAGTCTTTTTAAGGATTGAATTGTAAAGTTCATGAGTACAGCATCTTGATTTAACTAAATCCCCTAAGGCCAATTTTGGTTCAACAGTAACACAAATATTAAGTGTAGAATGCAAATATAGTCTTATAAAGCACCTTTTGAATCAAAGCTATTTATATCTAGCAAGTTTATATTTATTTTCCCAAGATATATTGGGAAAAACAATTTTTTTTGCAAAGGAATGATGGAGTAAAAAGGGAGAGGAGGATGGTAAGAGATGTAAACACAGGGACCAATGGAAAGAGGAGAGATGAAGCAGGAAAACTAACGAAGGGTGGAAAAAAATTAGTATCAGGAAAAACTGATGTGACACCTCTGTAAATGAGAACAGAAGGGATACTGAAGCACTGTGTTAGTGCAGATTTTCCCAACTTTGAGCCTTTCAGATATGTTGACTGATAGCTGCCATCATTCCTCACCAGTTAAGACCAATGATCACACTGGCAGGAAATGCTGGGTCTGAAAGATCAACGTGCTTCAAGGGCATCAGATTACCAGAGCCTTACCTGTAATTTTATTTTTAAACTACAGAACAGAACAATTTTTAAAGCAATCATTAGGAAACCGGAGAACTCTTTGTTTGTATCAAAGATCATCTTCTATGTCCAGAAGAGAAACCAGACAAGTTCTTGATTAGAATGGATAGGTGCCACTCATATAAACTGAAGATAATTTTATTTGTGCTCAGAAACACTAGCTACCTTTAAATAAACTGCCTCTGGTTCCCTCTCCCACCAAATTAGGTATCTTATGGTGTTGCAGGTGTTTGAGATCATTTATTCATCGGTTTTTCATCACCTAATTAGAAAAACGCTTCTTTCAAAAAAGAAGCAGTTATCAATGGAAACTTTCTAATTAGCTTGGTTTAAAGACATATGCAGGCTAACAGGTTTTCTTGGTATTTTTTTAAGCATACACAAAGTCACTTTTGACATTTTAATTGACAGAAAACGCTTAGCAACCTTTCTATAAACTCTACTGGCAATTAAACTAGGGTCAAATCTGGTTAAAATAAGACTACCCGGAAAAAAGAATTATTTGCTAACAAATTCAGTGTAAAGACTATTTAGTGTTATGAATCTTTGAATAAAGTTAGCAAGAGAGGAGCTGATGCATCACTACAAGAGATTTATATACAACATGTTACATTTTCATAATGATGTTGCAGTCATTAAAAATAATTACCAGATCATTTTTTCTGACAATTATTAATATATATCCACACATACTCATTTGGTGTTTTATTTCAGAGAACACTAATAAACATCTGCAAAACTAATCAACACTCATTAACAACCCTTGTTACTTTCAAAGGAAGAGCAATCCTCTCCAAGCTTTTTCTACAGCTGCAACATTTGTGCCAGCTTTAAAACGTTATTATTCATCATTTGACAGTTTCATGGGAATCTATGAATATCTATGCAGAGAAAGGTCCACATATAAAATGCCTCTTTAAAAAAACCAACAGTGTTTTAACTTCACCATTATCAAGCAACTTATCTATCAGTTTCAATCATCCACTGCACATAAATGCCATCTCCAGTGTCTGTGGGCTTTCCCAGATTAATCTTGTATCTTCCTGGGGTGTCAAAAGATGTTCATGGTTCAGGTCGTTTTCGGAATACAATGGACAAGCCAGACTGCAATTTTTACAACTTTGTTCTTGGCTTCTATGGCCAGGTTTCAATGGCCATAACCAGGGAGAGGGTATCACCTCTCCTTTGAACCTCTTCCTTATTTCATGGGGTTGAAATAATGGGATTACATTTAAGGAGAGCTTTCTACTAAACAACATGGATGCAACCAACCTTGTCCATTTTTTAAAATGTTCTTAAGACTAACTGCCCTTGTAGCACATAAAGCTTTTAGCATTTTGAGGCAGTGGACATATTTGCAATGTTGAGAATATGACATACATGTGGCAAATCAGAAACCAGGCCCTTAAATGAAAGTAGAGGCTGTTCTCTGCCATCCCATCTAATCTCCCAGGACATCCATTCTCAACTCTGTTTATTTCTATCTTTCTTTTTTTCTTTTCTGGACCAGTTCAACAGATTTTCAAATACAGCATTTGACTGCAACTCAATTATCTTTTAGGAATGCTTCGGGGATACATAATGGGGCTCAAATTATTGGACACAAAAATAAAGTACAAGGATGAAGTTGCACTTTGTAGCATGCCAGATTTCCATTTAAATATTTTCAGTTAGAATTTTTTTTAAAAAAAGGAATATAAAATGGGAGAACGGAGCCTTCAATCCCAACAAAAATATCTGCCTGGGCATCAACTAAGAGGTGATGCCCACAAAATTACTCTTCCTTCTTCAGTAGAGTGTGTGCTATATATGGGTTCATCATAAGTGATTTTTACCAGGTCCGTACAAAACAAAATAACCATCCATTTGCATGCAGGAAATCTTATTTGTATAACAAAGCCACAGGCCATCCCCAAGTGGCTGCCTTAGGCAGACATTTAACTTCAGGAATTCCATGTCTGCACCTTAGCCAGAGATTAATAAATAAAGCCTCAGGTTTTGAGGTATGGTTGCTTAAAAGGCTGTACTATAATTGTACTTATTTATAATAGGGAATACTCCAAATGACTCAAATGACTCTGCAAATAGGCAACAATGGGTGTTCTAGGAGCTGTCACAATTTGGACTGCTCATGTTATCAAACAGTAACTGGAAATCTAAAAAAAAAAACAGACAGGGAATTAATACTGCCCAGTTGCCCTGAAGATCAATATAAGCAAGAAAATGGGATTCAACCAGTGGATACAAGATGTGAAGAATGATGACTCTAGGAACTTAAGTGGATTTCCCAAACAAACAACAAAGTAGGCTGCTTCTATTACTTGAACCGGCCTGACCAAATTAAGGAGATTTTTGTGAGACTATTTACATCCAATGAAATTACATTAACTAATCTGAAAATCCACAAATCTTTCAGTCTACTTTCTTCCTCACCTGAGGCACCTGTTTTTTCCACGTTCCCGAGAGATACATTGTTTCCTTTGTTCAAGTCTTCGAAATGCAGGTCTTCATAATGTTCAATACAAAGTCGCTTATCAATCTGATACAGCAATGCAGGGCACAGATAAGTAAACAAGCTGGGAGAAATTGGAGAACTGGGGTGAAGGCCATAATGGCTTAGCAGCTGTGTGACATTTAAGCACTGCAAAGAAATTAGGAAGAAAACAATTAAGCAGGTCCCACCGTTAAAAGGCTTACTTAACTACTTAAGTCTCGTAAAATTACACGGTCTCTTCTGTCCTTTGAACTGCTACCTAGCCCATAAACCGTCACATACTGAAGGGGCTGGGAATATGAAATGTTGAGTAAACTATCTACCGTTGTTTTCTGGAGGGGAAATAGGGAGAATTTATTCGTTACATCTACTGAGAATTTTAAAAAATTACACCTAAATTCAAAAAATGTTTATGCACGTTAAAATCCTTCCTGGGAACGGTAAACAGTATTTCATCATTAGCTGACTGAAATGACATTTCATTTTAACCAGCCATGGATGATTAAATATTTGCCTTGCATGTTTTAAAAAGCATACAAGAAATTAATCAGTTCATCAAGGAAGAAATTACAAAAATCTATTGGTCCTATAAACAAATAAAAAATACCCTGGCTTTATCCTGGGATAACCTAAATAGCTACATAAATAACCATGTTCCTCTTTTATTAAATGTCATGCTCAATAATGCCCTAAAAAACAAGTATCTATAAGTCCTTAGCTATATAAACCTGTGTATAGTTCCCCCCCCCCTTTATTCAATTATGTCCAATTCTTGGAGACTGACTGGTCAAGTTCTTGCAGTTTTCTTGGCAAGGTTTTTCAGAAGTTGTTTGTCTTTGCCTGCTTCCTAGGACTGAGAGAAAGTTGGGCGGCCCAAGGTCGCCCAACTGGCTTTGTGCTTAAGGCAGGGCTAGAACTCCGTCTCCCGCTTTCTAGTTTCATACCTTCACCCCTACGCCAAACTGACTCTGTAGTTCAGGGGTCCCCAACCCCCGGTCCATGGACCAGTACCGGGCTGCGGCATGCCAGCAAACAATCTGCACAAATAAGCAAAGTCCCATCCGTTGGATGCAGGCAGCACACAAAACCATGCACCCTCCGGTCCATGGAAAAACGTTTCCCCATGGAACCGGTCCCTGGTGCCCAAAAGGTTGGGGACCTCTGCTCTAGTTCTTCCTTAGCTACACACAGTTATACAGAATTGCAACTTTTAAAATGTGTAAGTCAGCACAACAGCTGGCTCTGATGGGCAAAAAGGTGGGGAAGTCTACTTTTTCTTAAAGATACATAATGTTCTTTTCGGGCTCATACAGACCTCTTCAGAAGAATGCTCATCTTCATTATGGTTCTTGTGATTAGTATGCTTCCCCACGCTGATTTGTTTATCAGGTGCCTCTCGCTTGCTGGTATGTCGATACCCATCCCCGCTAGCAGGGTTTGGGTCTTGATGTCCATGAGTAGCTGAATGATCATTATTGTGTTCATGAAAACGTGCATGTGAGAAAGACACATCATGCACATGGTCATGTTTGTGGACATGATTATGTTCATATTCCTCATTTGAGTCATGATTGAGAGTAAAATCTTGTGCTGTAACTCTTGAAACCTCACTGTTCTTCATTCTCCGCCATTTCTTAGGGTGCTTACGTAGTTTTCTTTCAGGCTGTTCCTGAGTAGTATTGGTCTCCGTGGAAGGCTCATGACTTGGTTCCCCGTGATCACTGGTGTTAATGGAATCATTATGAGACTGATGAGTATTGTTATGGTCCATGTGGCGATGTGCATGGCGGCGGCGATGATGCTTGTGGTGTCTGTGATTATTAGAATCATGAGCATGTCTACCATCAGGCTTCAAAGATGATTCTGTAACTTCTGCCACTGGATCACACTTCTGGCTCCTTTTGCTAGACCCTTCGTTTGCAGTCTGATTTTCTGAGCTTGGGTGATTATGGGAATGAGGATGGTTGTGGGAATGAGAATGCTTTCCTTCTTGAATATCTAGTACATCTAAGTAAGAAACATAATCGTGGCCAATGTCCTCATGATTTATTTCTACTATTTTAATTTCTCCAAGGCCAAGGCTCATCATCAATTTCTCCAGGCCACAAAACGACAATTTTCCATTCTCACCATAACGATTAAAGAGTTTTTCAATGTAGTATTTCTGTTTAACTTCAGCTTCCTTACTTGGTTCAGGCTCGGTCCTTTCGTTTTCTGAGATTTGACAGTCATTGTGGCTATGTTCACCTTCATGGCAATGGTGACATTGATGGAAGACAAATGTCAGCAAACAAATGAGGCAAAATTGTGTGTGCCTATGAACCTTCATTTCTGTTTTCTGCAAGGAAAGAAAAAGGAAAGCTCCATCTGTTAATTTCTTTTGGGGTGTTGCTGAATTACCGGCAGCAATAAATGCAGTTTAAAGTGATAGGAAGTATAGTTATTAATTTAAAAAAAAACTTTTTAGAATAAACATGTAAGCACCTATGTAAGCTGCATATAGGAAAGACTATGAAACTTTTATCAAAAATATAAAAGTAATCTTACCAATAATTACATTTTTATGCCTATACAATTTCTTGGCCACTGTCAAAAAGCAAATGGAAGGTATAGTCAAATTGGAAAAGTACATTCAAATTCCTATTTATGTATGGAAAAATAATGTTTTCAAATTTCTGTATAATATATTAGCTAGCCACCAATTTCTTTAGTGTCATATATGCTTATGTTCAAATTAGAAAAAAATGAAATAAGAGAAAATTTTTGTTTTATTTAATTAAATGTATTTGGGGAGAAAAGCATTTTCCAAAGAGCTCATTTTTCTTATTAAAATGTCCATTCATTAGAAGACTGCCTTAAGACATCCAGGAGTACATTAAAAAAACTAGCATCTGTTTTTAAATATATGAACACATTAAGACACATGCCCATCTTAAGTAGAATATTTTGAACAGAATGTCTTTTTTCAAACGTAATTACAAATTGCAGGTCATTGATTTTGTTTTATTTTTTGTATATATAAAATTAGGGCCCATTAACCTCATGGATGTCCTGCTCTGGCAATGTAAACTATAAAAGCTGACATTTGTTCAGGCAAAGAAGCTGAGGTAAATTTTAAACTGATGATTTACAATGGATCTTGTAAAGCTGTGAAAGAGCAGGCTGTTCAGAAAATTGCCAGAACTGGTGCTGGTTTCTTCCCCACAACTCCCTCGCCCATGAATCTATAGTAGTTTTTCCAGGTCAGGATTTTTGTTTTTTTGTTTTGTCTTGGGAACGGCTGGAAGAATGACCTGAGAAACTAAGCCATAAGCAGCAAGAGGATTTAAATCAAAATAAAATAATTATTACTTTTTATTCAACCCTTCATCTAGTGCTAAAGCTGCATGGTGATCCTGCATGATAAACTTTTGCTGATACCGAGTGACTTTTTCATAGCCACACATAAACTTGAAATTTTAAATATGCCTTCTAGAATTGCACTTATTGAGGAATTTTGCATATATAAAAAGACAATTTGCTTAACCAACAATAGCTTAGGCAATCCATTTTATGTCATAATCATTAGTCTAACAAATCAATCCACCTTTTCTTACGACCCAAGACTGTATATGTAGAGGTATGTATGTATATGTGTGTGTACATTATATACATATGTTCTTTCTATTTGCAAAAACTGCCAAGAAATGGAGATGTCAGCTCCCCCAAGATAAACCAAACATGGAAAACAAACGCATGCAAGTTAATACTTTTATTTTGTTAAGAATAACAGAATCTTGTAAGTCTGAATGCACTTCCCCACTTCCTCCGTTTATCTTCATAAGAAAAAGATCATGTCTGAGATGCCTTTTCAAATTTATATTTCTATTCCAGATTCAGATTTCTTTTATCTGATTGTTGTCTTGGTTGTGGCTGTGCTCCTCTTCCTCAAGGTTATTCCTTCTGCCAATTACAGAGTGATTGTAATATGAATAGGAGAATATACAAAAAGTACAGATCACAAAGCAAATCTCTAGGCTTATCTGAGTATGATGCAAAATTACGGATTTAGTCTCTTGCAGTCATACAAGTGCTCATCATGCTAAATAAAACCGGGTCTAACTATGTGTAGAATAGAATGAGTCCATGCCACAAATGTTAAAAAAAAATCCAATGAGAGGCTCTGAAATAAATCTAAGCCAGGTATATGCCTAAGTATAACATTTCAAGGGTCATAAATGTTAGCTTCTTGTTCCTTCTGGTGGCCTAAAAAAAGCTTGCCATTATAGGACAATCCAAATTATATGCCACATGTAAATTAGTCATGCAAGTAATTTTTACAAAATTACAAGAAAGAAAGTAGCCTGGGTTCCATAATAAATAGTTGGGAAAGACAAGAAGTCTTATGTATGGGCTACAGAAAAATGTAAGCTTCTGGCTTTTAAAAACAGATTGAAAACACAGCAGTAATTTTCATCAAGTGGCTTGGCAAAAGACAGACAGTTTTCTCTCCTCTACTTTTTGGATAGTCATAGAGAAAATGATACAAATTGACTGATGGAGAGATGAGACGTTCCATCCTTCCTCCACTAGACTTAGCATGGAGAATTCTCAAAGTTTTAAGTGGAAGAAGGAAGTTTTTGTTGATGTGTATTTATTTAGGCTAAAATCAAACAGATTAAAATGGATTAAGAACAATTCTGTCAGGGTTGTTTAATCTCAATGGAATCCTACCTTGCATGGACTGAATTAGATAACTACTCAAGCTTCTCCCTTCCAGGGGTCACCCTATGACTGAGGTAAAAGCTATTTCTGAATATGGTATAAGATAAATATCAAACTAGTAGCATCACTCTGGTCTGCCTTACCTTACAGCACAAGATCAGATATCAGGAATTCTGCACACGTTATTCTCAGCAAAGGAAAGATATAGGAAGATAACTGTAAAGGAACAGGACAAATTCCTTTCTTTACAATCTCTTCTGTCCCAGGGCAAGTCTATTATCTGAAAGTCACCTATTGCAACACAAAGATTAAACAAGGCCAAAGGGAGAGCAATGTTTGTGAAAGAGAGGACTCTGAATTAACTAATGAAATAGAAAACTCAAAAACACCATGGCCCTGAGGTTGCCAATTTGAGCTCTAGTTTGAAATTTTTGCAAATTTAAGTATAAAAAATTTAGAATTGCTTTGGAATTTATTAAACGTACCTTATGATCATCAATAGATGCTAAGCCAATAGATGAGCCATGGGGGCACAGAATGCAGTATTGCAGGCTAGTTCAGCTCACTGCCAGGACTTTGATCCTGACCTGCTAAAGGTTGACTCAGCTTTCCATCCTTCCAAGATCAGTAAAATGAGGACCCAGCTTGCTGGGGGCAATATGCTGACTCTGTAAACCACTTGGAGAGTGCTGTAAAGCACTGTGAAATGGTATATAGGTCTAAGAGCTATTGCTATGCAAAGATTGTAATTTAAGAAAAAAATTTAAAACATAAAAGCTAACAAATTGTAAATGTTATGAAATAAAAACTTCCACTTAAATAAGCCTATTTAAACAAAAGTATCCTTTTTTACATAAAAAAGGAAAAACAATTTTAAAGAGAAATTGTTATGGTCTTGCAACGCACTTTTACTACACAATATTAATTAAATGCAAAGTTATCTTAATTTGTGAACAATCCAGAGAGAGAAACGTATATTGCTAAGAGGACTCTGAAATGCAAACACGTTTTTTGGTCACATTCTTCAATGCTCATCAACATACCAGCTGAATGAAGACTTTTAGGGATCGATCTAGGGATATTTGCACATGTAGTTGCACAGACATCCTTTAGATCTACCATGATATATGCAGCATAAAAATTGTTTTAAAACATAGATTTTGACGGCTTGGTCATCAAAATGGTATATATGAAAGTAATTGCCTTTTTCTTGAAAATAGTCTTTTTAGTGTGCAATAATTCTAGCAATTATATACACTAATGTTAGAAAATTTGGATCCTTCATTATAACAATAATTAGATGACCCTGCTTTTTCCCTATAACAAAAGGGTCCCCAACCTGCGCGCCCTCACTTGTGCGGGGATCAAAAACAGGATGCCATGCCATAGGGCCGTTGCTGCACCTTAGGGTATGAAAATGGGCCGCCACTGCACCGTGGGATGTGAAAACAGGGCACTGCTGCACTGCGGGACACAAAAACAGGCCATCGCCACGCTGCAAGATGCAAAAAGGGATGCCGCCATGCCGCGGGATGTGGAAATGGGCTGCTGCTGCGTGGCGCAAGAACAAGGCACTCCGCCATACAAGAATGGGGCAGATCTAGCAAGTATCATGCTAATCCTGCTCCGTTTGTGGCGCACGCGCGTGCTCATAGCCCTATGGATACATATAAAATGCTTCCTCCTCCCTTTTCCTCCAGTCCGTCAACCGACAAAGGTTGGTGACCTCTGCTGCAACATACACAAATCGTCCTTTTGTGAAGTCTAGTATAACCAATTCTAAAGCATAAATGAAAAGTACTGACCGCTTTACAGTTCTTACGTTCCCTTAAGAGAATGGAGGACCCAGTTCAATCAAATACTATAATAATTCCTTCAGGACATGAAGCTCAGTATTTCTCTAAGTTGTAATCTAAGGATACTATCTGGATGAGAAGCAGAAAAGGTACTTTGGAGGGGGTGTAGGCATACTCATTGCACCTGAAAATGCCTCCTTAAAGCCATGACATCATTTCCTTGGTAGTGTAGGATGCCTGAAAGGGCATGTTTGTTAAGGAGAAGAAACAGGTGCAGCAAGGATGATCTTGCCTTCTCTGAAGCACCTTTCCTATTTTGGAGTCTATCAGCTGCACAGACTCTTGTAAGTCACCAGAAATTCAACTCAAGCCATCACAGTGAAACCCTCTAAAATAATATTAGCTTGCTAATCCTCAGTATGAAAGTAGGGTAGCTATAAATCTCAGCTGTCAACTCTTGAGGAAAATTTCACTGAAAAACATGGCAAACCACCAAATACATTAATCATTGCCAATGTAAGGGCAATTAAAAAAACTTGAGATGTATTTGTCCTTCTTCCTTTTAAAAAAAGTTCCCATCTTTTCCCATCCTGACAAGATCCTAGCCTGATTTTGCATACTTATTAATTGTTCTTTTATCAAGTAAAAAGCCATGTCAGAAATATTACCAGCTAATCAATCTAAGAACACAAGACCAATTTATTGATGAATGTGGCACCATAAATTTCCCTTTGAATCCAGAGAGCAAAACTCACTGATGAGAGTCAGCACGTAAAACTGACTTGATCAGTTTGGAACCATAAACATAGATGGGAAAACAGACACATTA